GGTCAAGCTGTGAGGTTACTTTTGATAATATATTTTCCTACAGTCTGACATCTAAATAGTCTATTATTAATATAATGATTCTTATTTTAAGCCAGTAAGAAAATGTTTTAATGACATTTTAATTGCAGTAATGAAATAAAATTAGTACTATTACCAAAAAGAAAATGGTAAAGTAAGATTTTAGAAGATTCTTTATGTAACAGAAATCTCAGTATTTTTCATTCATGTTTACTAGTGCCTTCCTCTGTATAATTCCTCTAATTTTTATTACTGACACTGTTAACTGGAGCTTTTTTATTTTTCAAAGTCCTATTAATTTCTTGATTTAGCCATACAATACATTGTATTCAAGTTAGAAAAATGTTCTTATTAGCTTTCCACTCCTTATTCTTTATTTCTTTACATTCATGTATTTTACCCAAACCATTACATTCTCTTCAAATTGACAACTTCTAATGTTCTTTTAGCAAATACTCATTAGCTAAATTTCTCTAGTAATTTCATGTGATGTAGCTTGTTTTCTTCTAATATGAGGCCATAAAAGCAAAGAATGCATTCTGTCAAGATAGCAGATTCCCTTATGCCATGGAAGGTCTTTTTTCCCCGCTCTGAAATGTTAAGATCCTAATTACCAACACATATATAATTCTTTTAATGCAACTTTTATGTGTTTGCCAATAACACCAAAAATATGTCATAACTTAAACATTTTTGTTTAAATGAAGAAGGCATGTAAGTCTAGTACTAACTGCCTTACACACTGTAAGCTGTTGCTTGATGTACACGTTAAGCTTGAAAAGAAAATACGGAATATTTTAAAATTTAAATCAGACACACTGCCCTACTCTTTGATTCAAATTAATTTGTATCCAAATGTAAGTCTTCATTTTTGTAATGAACTTTCATTCTTATTCTAAACATTTAAATGTCAATAAGGCCCTGAGCGTAAATATGAGAATCTAAGTTATCCAAGGAGTCATAGCAAGAATAATCTTGAAATGTGGGAAACAGGGTTAGCTCAAAGCACGGGTACAGACAGGGCATAGTTGGGTGGTGGCTGGGTAATTATATATTCCCACACCTAGGGCTTATATTAAGGGAGAAAGAGATTCATCTATTGCTCTTAGTCACTAGCTGTGAATACTTGGTTTTAATGCTAAATGAACAGGCACATTAATACTAACCCTCAATTCTGTCTCAGATGTCACAACCATAGATTTGAAAAAAACTGACCTGTCACATCACAAACACTGAAATCATGGATTCTGGTTCTGTTCGCAATTTGGAAGATAAATAATATGTAATTCCAGAAACCAAAATTAAAAATTTCATACCTTGTGCAAGCATGTTAAATTCCAAGAATAGTGCTATGTGGTAAAGTTCCATGGCTTCTTCTGCCCTGGTCATGTTTGGCTTCCCTGCGACGAGAGCCTGAACTTCACTGAGACTCCCAACAGAGGGGCTACAGTGCAAAACGGAGAGGTCCACCATGTCCGTATACATACAGTGTAATATAACTTTCGCATATTTTTTTGGTATAATGGACTCATCTAATATAATTCTTGTGGGAGTCCTCAAAGTTCGGTCTGTGATTTCTTCACCAGTCCGTATCCTCCTCTGCAATAAATTTCGAAAAAATGGGGACCGTGCTGAAATGATAGCCTTGTGAGCTTTGAGCTCTTCATCTAAACAGTTCTGATTTCCACCAAAAGCTTCAACCAGTTCAGAATCTGAAGAAAAACTAAGGACGACATCATAATAACACATGTAATCAAAAAGTCCACGCATATCTACATCAAGGGAATTTGGTGTTCCAAATTCTTCACTAAGCTGAACGAGGATATCAACATTTTGAAACCTTGAGTCCTCCATTCCAAACTCTCCTGTATAAAGGTAGTGTAACAAAGCAGAAAACATGGGCATATCTATACCAGCTGTATTGATGTCCATTATTATCTCTGCCCCATACTCGGGTGAGGAAGAAAGCAGTGTTTTAAAAAATGGACACCTTGCTGCCAAAATGGCACGATGAACAGGAAAACAAGTTTCTTGAAATATTAAGTCTACATCGGTACAATATTTGTACTCATAAAGATCGGCCATATCTTTCTGCAGTGTCCGGGCTTCTGGTCTAGCCAAACTGGCTTGCAGAGAAAGTTCCTTTAAGGCTGAAGTTCCCTCATATTCCTCCACTAATGCATTAACATCTCTAACATCCCACCCAGAGAGGAGTTCTCGCATCTGCTTGGCATGATCAGCAGACCTATTAGATTTCCGACGCTTAATAAACTTCTTTTTGAGGGTGGCAAGGCCAGAGGTTCTCTTTTTTTTGTCTTGTGGTTTCTCATGGCCGTGATCAAGGCTATATAATTTTGATTCACAACCATAGCCTTGCTGAGAGTAGGATGATGTCCCTAAGAAGGAAATTAAACAAATTAAAATTTGTTTTTTTTAAAACATTAATTTTCAACATTCACTTTAACACATATTTCATGCTAACATCTTTTTTATAGACATTCCTGAAACATTCAAATAAAATTGATTTCTGTTTTTATAAAGGAAGATAAAAAGCTCAAAAAACTTATTTTTATTTAATAAGGAATAGAGATAAAAAGGGCAGATTTTTCTTAATTTAAAAAAATGCTTTTGGTTCTTCTCTGGCTATCAAGGACCAGATATCATAGAGCTTAATCATGGACTCTGAGGAAATGAGAATTAGGCAGATTTGTAATTAAGAATATTACTTCTATATAATTGTAAAGTGTTTCTTTTTTTTCTTCTTTACTACACCAAGGCTGCATTTGTATTGGGGAAAACAAATGGATTTAGGACAGAAGAAACATGTGTTTTACACCACTGGAGGTTGCTGATTTTCCTACGGTAATTGGAAATTATGGTTAAGACAACCAAAGAAAAGATCAACTGTGCTATAGCAGCTTGGTTTAGGATAAAAAGCACACAAGCCAGATTTACATTTGTTGGGCAAGAAATCTGGATGCTGCACAGTTATTACCTACAACTTTTTCACAGCTCAGTTCTCTTTTCATCCAAACAGACCACTGAAAATACAATTCTATATATTCACAAAAGGAAATCAAGTTAGAAAAACTGAAAGTTACCTATAAAAGTCTGCTGGGCTTGAGAATTTCCCCCTACCCTTGGGGAGCATGAATGAGGATAGTTAGATGCATTAGCACCCATTTTCTTCAGTCACTCAGGCAGTCCATCTGCTGGTTCTTCAGAGTATAATCCCAGAGGCCTTTATGAACTTTCAACCCTGGATCCAGCAGCCTCTTTTCATCCATTTCTTGATATGAAACAAAAATAATTTTATTCATTTTTTCAAATGTATCACAAATTGCAGTTAAAAAAAGCAAGCTACTGAAAACTTTTATTTGCAAATAATGACATGCTGTCAAATTCACATGTAGAAATTTCAGAAAATGTAGTTAAACTTGAATTATGAATCAGTGTTAGCTGCAATTTTGAGCCATAACATGTACCAATTACTTTTTAGTCGTAGAAAGTACATATCAGACTAAAATATAGTTACAGAAAGAGTATTTCAAATCACAAGGAAAAATCTGTAGACTAAAAAGAAAGTTCTCATTTTTTTCTAATCCTTAGACACCAACATCAGCAATAATCTAACATTCTAAGCCATTTATAAACACATAAGAGGCTGATACAAAGAGCATATAATTTATTGGTTTGTTATTTTTCTACCTTAGATAAAATTGCTTAAATTGATCTTTAATCTGTGTAACTTGGCATTTTACTGATAAGAGTGGCAAGAAAAGATGGACAGTTAAAACTAAGTACCTTTAGGCTACTTGTTCCACACATAATTTTGAGAGAAGATATAGAGATATAGAGTGAGACTCAAGGGAAAATGAGAACTTTTATTATCCTCCCTATAAGGCACTTAAATAAAGATACTACTTCCTATTACCCAATATTTTGACATAACACTGACAGGGCAGTATGATTTTAATGATTACAGACCCCACCATGGAAACTTAACTCTCAAAAGCTGCCAGGAGGAGATACATGTGCAAAGAGAAGAAACTCTGAGAACGAGTTAATATGAATACTTCTAAATCTTTACAGTATCTAGTTACATAAAACTTATCTTACTAAAAGGGCTAATGGTTTAAGAGAAAACACAATTTAAAATCTATTACTGGAATTGTTAGGACACCAACTAAAAGGCAGTTAATCTAGCCTCATAATGAAGAATGAAATGTTTTAACAAATGGAATTACACACACATACACACACACACACACACACACAATATCACAAAAAACCTGCTAGAAAATAAAACTTTGTCAAGATTCTTGGAACTTTCATCTTGGTTACTGACACAGCATAACCTTAGGAATTCAAGTTTAAGAAAATCATCATTAACATTTGTACTTACCTTTAATCTTTTCCCACTACTTATATGAAAGTTTATTTATCTAAGCACAGAATTATCTAAAAGTGCTCAAGAGAAGACTGGGAAACTTTCTACTAATTAGATATTATGCAAAGTTGCAGTAACTTCGATCAACAAGCAAATTTCCTATTTGAAGCTTACCTATCTACATGGGAAAACAAAGCATATTAGATTTGTTATTTCAGTGACCCTACTGGAGTCAGAAAGGCAACCAGAGATGTGACAGTGAGTTCTGTTAAGAACTACCCAGCAAGGAATCGGAAGAGTTTAACATACTATTTTGTAAACATTAAATGGTCAAGAAAATTACTTCTTCCAGTGAAGTCAGTTTTTGTAAAATGACACTTAGTGTAAGTAAATTCAGTTTTCTATTCTTAAATATTAGAAATGTAGAAGAGTCTGCTTTTTGGGGGGTAATTCATTTTGAATGGTGTCAATTTTCATAAAATAGAAACAAAATCTTCCCATTAATTTCATTTCAAAGTTAAAAAACCATTAAGTCTAAAAAAATCTTGGTTTTCAAACTGAGCTCCTTAAAAGCTTCATAGTTCTTCAGGCATGTTTGGTGGTTCTTTAAAAGAAATTAGAGTTGTGGAAGCCAAATTTGTGTCCTCACTTAGAGGTCACATCCTATTCTCAATCACTAAAGATTTGCATTTAAAACATAAAAATGGCAGAGATAATCCTTTCTCAAATTTGAAATGTATTAAGAAAAATCCAGAATAAAAACATTATGCCAAGTAAATGCCTTTACCAAAAATGAGGGGGGAAAAAAGATGAGCAGATAAGCATTGGATCTGGAAGTAGCAGCAGTCAGAGTGCAGGCAAAGAGTTTCTGAAGGGTTACTCCCAAGGTAGTCTTTTTTTCACTTCCTTCTTTACTCATTTTTGAAATTCCACATTGCTTTTTGGTTTTTTTGCTTTTTAATTCCTAATGACTGCAGAGCAAACTAACAGAACAAGAAAGACTGCAAACTCACTAACAAAGCAGAAGGAAGAATTCAATCAACGTAATACACCACATTAACAAAATGAAGGATAAAAGTCTTACAATTTCAATAGATGCAGAAAAAGCATCGGACAAAATTCAACATCCATTTATGATAAAAACTCTCAACAAAGTGGGTATAGAGGCAATGTACGCCAACATAGAACGGGCCATACAGCTAACATCATACTCAACAGTAAATATCTGAACGTTTTTGTCTAAGATCAGGAACAAGACAAAGATGCCCACTTATGCCACTACTATTCAACATAGTACTGAAGTTCTAGCCA